GTTGCTTTATGGGGTTAACGTTAATGAATCTGTGACAATTTATATATGGCTTGTCCCCTAGATCTTTGCTACACATTTCTGATATACTTTTATCCCAAACGCGTTCCAGGAGTGCTACATTCTCAGCAACATGCAAAATGTAGTGTACAATAACAAAGCTGGAAGTTAGACTTATTTTTTCTCTTATCTTGTGCTCTTCACTCATGTTTCACTAGACAAAATAGCTTGTCTGTAAAGCAGTCACTTGGTGTTCAAAGGACTTTTGTTTGTGTTTGGGGCTTTTAAGAGAGGTTTCATCTTAATAGTCAACTCAAAAGCATGTTTTTGAGTTGTGTACCTTGAGCAGGAAAAACATGAGTTTGGTTGTTTTGAATTTTGCAATTTGCTGTCAAACAAGATTATTTGTATCACTCTCTTGGTATCTGAGAGTAAATTTAGATTTTGGTGTATGCCGCATATTTTTAGGACACCTCTCTACAAACGTATTATTTCACCGTATCTCTTAGAGTAGTACCTTAACATGCTTTTAAGTAGCTTCTTTTCTGTTCGTATTTTGAGGCAAAACTGAGCTTTGAAAGAAACTGAGTCACTTGCTACAGGTACTGCTCCAAAACCATTAACTGCTTAACAGCTCAGAACAAGTTTTATTCTTCTTGAACCCTCTTTATTTGATGTAATGACCTCACATTACTGATTGTTTTAATGTTGTGCTGCTATTAACAAATTATGATGACAAAATTTAATGCATGGCTTGCAAGCATGTGCAGTCTTAATTTTATATGTGAAAGCAGCAACCGTTATAAACTCTGTGCACTTATCAACTGAAGAAATAAAGTAAACCTTCAAGCATTACTCCTTTTGCAGATTTTCCCTCAGGGTAAACATTCACACTAGTAAACAGTAAGATCGAAGAAAAACATCGAGCGACTACTGTAGTTCTCCTTGTTTCAGTCAGGGGAGTGTGCATGCATTTCCCCTTTGTTTCTCTTTCAGTCAGTTTCTGCTTTTTTTTAACTCTGGCATCTGACCAGACAATACCTGTTATTCTTTCATACAGGTTTTTTTTAACCTTGTGAACGTATCCAAAAGAAATTGAGGGATATCACCAGCTTCCATTGTTTCCATTCTTTTCAGTATTGAATTGCACTTCTGAAAAGCGTATATGAAAAATATGACAGTGATTTTTACGTACACAAAAGAATTGCTGTTAAATACTGAATATTTGTAGGGTCCTTTGCTCTTTACATGATTTTTTTTCCTGCCTGAACACAAAATCTATATGCTTTTGAAAACTACGTGGAATTATATTTTGGACATATTTTATAAGGAGCAGACTATAGTTCTGGTCAAAGATCTATAATTCTCCTGAGAACAGCACTTTTCCTGGAAGGAGTGCAGTTCGATCATTAGTAATGTATTGTCACCAGCATGATAAGGCAGCATGTGTTAAGTTTAGCTCGTATATGAGAACACTCACTCGCTCGCTCCCAGGAAGCTCGACTGCTGGAGCTGGGGACCAGATGGAAGAGCTAATCAATGTCTGCTCAAATGGGCTGGTTTTTAGTAGTGTTCAGTGAGTTTTGGCTATTTGATATACCAACACCTACACTGTAATCTTTAAGATGTTGGGTTTTTTCCCCCAAAGGAGGAGAACTTCACTTTGAGATTAGGAATCGATAGCTCAAAATTAGTAAGACCATATGTAATTACATCAAAATGAATTAACATAACTGTGAGAAATAACTGCACTTGTAAGGTAATTCCTTCAAATTAGGCAAATAGCAGGAATTAATGGCCTTCACAATGAATTTTGGTTTGCTTCAGAATGTTTATACAAGTATGTGTACTTTTACTAAAGAGTGATTATTCAGATTGGCAACTGTAACATATATTTCATCTCAGCTGGTAATGAATAATTCATCTTAAAATAGAAACTACAACTTCATCCTAGAATTACCTGTGCTAGTAAGGTTAAAGCATGTCAACCAAGGGGTTGGGAGCTTACATTTTTCTAATGCTTTCCAGTGCTGGGCTTTGTGTATAAGCTGATATCTTAGTCTTGGTCTTTACCTTGATTTTGTATCTCAATAAGTTAAGAGGGTTGGGTTTTTATTTTTATTTTTTTTATCAGTAAACCACTTCTCTCAGAATAATACACAGGATTGCTGGAGTTACATCTGTCTTAAATAGTCCCTGGAATAGCTGTGCTGTAAAAAGCAGATTTACACTAGGTCTATCTGTGGTGGGAAGAGGAATTTGGGGGTGGGAGTATTTGGGGGTGGGGGTAGTTTGGCTGAACAAGTAAAGAAGTACGATTTTTCTATATTGTCAGGAGTTGCTGAGTGTGATAGCCCAATGCGCGCGAAGCTCCCACAGCTCTGTATCGCCAGGTCCAGTTGGTGGCAAGGTTGAATGTATATTCCCAGTAGGCAGGCATGTACGTATGCACAAATGCACACACATGCTAATGGTATCTCTGTTTGGTATCTCTGTCTTGCAGTCCTCGATCAGAGAAGAATCTGTGAAATCACTGAATATTTTAATTAAAAAGGGCAGGACCTGTTCCTGAATTACCTTTTCACCTCCGAGAGGAGTCCCTGGAGGTGTTTGTTGGGAGGGAGAATGTCTGTATCCACAGTTCTGTCCCACGGTGGATAAATTATTGACAGTGCTGAGAAGTGAAATCGTTTTCCTGGCACTGCTCAGAGGCACTAAATTCATCTTGAGGCAGATGAGGCTAGAAGAAGTGGAGAGGAAAATCACATCAGTCAAGGATAAATCTTTAATGTTATCTATCGTGTTACTTTGGAAGTAGAGTGGTCTGAAAGGCCTGATATTCCTCAAAAGTGGTCTCTCTGCTATTCATCAGCCAGAGTTGAGTTTTCAGTATAGTTTTATAACAGAAAGACGCAAAATGATCACTACATTGCTTGAAATACACACCTGCAGCAGCAAGGGTGACATATGAAGCGTGATACAAAATATCACATGCTCAGTCTTCAGTTTGTCCCATTATTCTTATGAATTTCAATAACCTAGTAAACGTCATAGTAAAATAAACTAGTTTTGTCCAGTGTGTGGTGTCCTGGTATTTATTCTGTGGTAGCTGGTGTGCTAAAGTACCACTCTCAATGCCCAGACATGGAAATATGGAAGACTCAGTGAGTCCACAGACTGTCAGGGAATGGATAAGCAATGTCAGTTTGATTTCCTAGTTGCCATTTGTGAGGGCACATTTCCACACAGGATGCAGGCATAGATAGTTACCAAGCACTACTACTTTTTTAAGGTCTTGCATTTCAAAGTCCTCTGTGCAAAGGGTCATTAACAATTGCCATTCCACATTCTTATCACAGCAGGGCATGCTGTTCATATACTGGGCTTTACGTATTTACCAAGATAAATTTAAGTTTCATTAAATTCAAGGAAAAGAAAAGACTGATGTGGAAAACTTCCAAAGCTTTTGCAAAGAGACCAACACTACCCAGTGCAGAGTATTCATATGTCTGAGTGCTGCACTTCTGTTTGTCCAGGAGCTGAGACAACTCAGCACTTTTTAGGCCCTGTGAGGAGACACTAGAGGAATTCAGAGTTATTAATTTCAAATGTGGTATCTGTAGCTTTTCAAGGGCAAACTTTTTCATTGTGAGGGTGACTGAGCCCTGGCACAGGTTCCTGGAGAAGTTGTGGAATCTCCATCCTTTGAGATACTCAAAAGCCGTCTGGACATGGTCCTGGGCAAGCAGCTCTTGGTGGCCCTGCTTGGGCAGGGGAGTTGGACCAGATGACGTTCAGAGGTCCCTTCCAACCTCAGCTGCTCTGTGATTCAGTGAAGGACTGGACTCCATAGCTTGTCGGGATGGTGCAACTCATTATCTTTCCAAAATGGACACACCAACTTATACATGGGATTCTTTCTGTTTGCCCACAGGTCTCATTGCTACCGTCATGTCAAGTGATAATCCTTTATTTCAGGATTGCCTGTAAAAGAATGACTTGAGAACTTGATTGTTAAAAAAAAGTCTCAAGCAAGTAGGATTAGGCCTCAGTAACAACAGACCCTCATATGATCTGTTGAGTGGTGGGGGTTTTTCCTATAGGATTCCTGATTTTACCAGCTCTAAACATTTTATATTGTGGTCACAAGTTCAGTGTTTGCCTCAGCTCTCACTTTGGAGAGCAGAGTGGTAAAATGATCGTGGTCCTTCTTTTTTCACAGGCTGCCTGTGGTGTGATGGGCCACAGGGCACCCAGTTCTCAAGTGCGGTGAGGAAGGAGCAGTACTGATGTTGACTGGGTGGGAGGCTGTGTTTCATTCTTCCAGCATGTTATTCCTGCATGCCAGTCATGCCCAACCGGCTGTCCCAAATTCCTCCAAAAAAGAAGAAACTTCCTTTCCTTTCAGAAATGAAATAAGAAATGTATTTGTTAAAAAAAAAGAACAACCTGTCAAGCCCTGGGGATGGGCCTGATATGCAAAAAAAATGAAACAAAGATCTTTTAAAAGTTGTGGTTAACAGGAAAAAAAGGCATGGCTAAAGCTCTATGAAGCAGCTAATTGATATTTTTAAGGGAGAAGAGAGAAAGAGAACAGGGCATACAGAAAAGGAAGGTGGCATCGAGCAGATGTAAAAGAACATGATTTTTTCCTACAGGACAAAACTCTGAGATCTAAATAATTCAAACCTACGTTTCTAGTGTTGCTTTGCTGTATGAGCAGTTGCTTTTGTTGCTTCTAATAGATTGTCTGGTCGTAGAGACATCACAGAGATTATTGCTGATGTTCACAAGCTAGGCAGTATGACATGGGGCTCATGCCATGAATAATGTATGTAGTCCTTGTTAAAGGTAAAAGACCACAGAGTAAGAATTGTAGCACTAGTCTGCAGCAGTTTACTTCCAAGCATAAGATAAAATTCAATTTAATCCCTGAGGAAATATGTTTGTTTCATTCCTAATTGTTTTTTGTTTGTTGTTGTTTGTTTTTTTTTTCCCCATAGCTGGCACCTTCCCTTCCATTACAAGAAGATTTCGTTTACCACTGGAAAGCAATCACCCATTACTACATAGAGACATCAGGTAAAAGAAGAAAATGTTCTGGTTTTGTCTCTTTGTTGTGAAAACTAGAATTCCCAGTTTCGATGTTGTTAAAAGGTAAAGATTAAGAAATGCTAAAATGAGTCATGTCTTTTATCAAAATACCAACATTAATAATTAGTAATTAAAAATATTGGGTACCTCCATTCATTGCTTAAAAAGTAAGCATTAAGAACGATTGAGGAAAGGTCATCTTTACTGTGTACCGTGTAGAGAATTGTACCTTTTCACGTCTGACCCAATTTCTCTCTTTATTTATTCTGTTTAATCTAAACAGACAACTACAGAAATGTTGTCCCTGCTGTTAACCTTTTTATTGTTTTGCATCAGGGATTTTCTTTTTCTTTCCAAGATTTTAACAAAAGTAATTTTGTGGTCATAGATTTTACCAGACATATATGAATTCTGTGTGCTCAGTATTAGGTATTTTTAATTTAGTGTCTTGTCTTCATGAAAGGTATTGTGATAACATCGCTCTGAAAAGTAAATTTGTGAGCAGATTTAGGACACATTTTGTTAAAACTTATCCAGACCTTATTCTGCTCTTCGAAAAAACAGGTGTTCTGATGAAATATGGCTGTAGTTGCTTTTTCTTAAACTTGTCCCTGATTTCCTACAACAGTTATGCGACATTTAAATTTTTAATTTTTGGTCCTAGTTATTAAACTGTTAAGTTTTAAAAGTGAATGTTACCGTGCCTTCCTCGAGCTTGCGAGTTCTGCATTTCTGCTAGAGTAGCTATTGAATCTGTGTTTGTGTCTGGGACTGGTGATCTTGTTTATATCAATATTTACTCTTCCAAGCTGAAACTTGACCCTTGGTTCTAAATACCCATCTTTTGGAACGCTGTGTGATGTTTCCTAAGGTAGAAATGACAGGGTGGTAGGGGAAAACTGATACCTGCGATTATGTGGTGTAGAATAAAAGCTGACCTCTCTCCCAGACTTTCAGAAGTCTTGTGAAAAACAAGTTTCCACTCCGTGGGTATATGTCTGTCCTCTGCAGTGGGAGCAGAATTATGCCTAGGAAATTCAAGCAAAACACTCTAGGCTAACTGGAGGTTGGTTGGTAGAGACCAAAGTCACTCTGACATGACAGTTTTCTTTTGTGGTCTTGTGCCATTTACATGCAAGTGACAGTTATTTTTAGATTATTGCATAAGAAGTCATAACCATTTCCCCTAGTGGGATAGTTGTTCAAGTAGAATTTAGCTGAAAAAAATAAAAAGGAAAATCTCCATGTGCGGACATGCTCTACAACATGTTAGTGCCAGCTCCCACTGCCGGTGGCATAAATCCACAGCAATTTCATGACTTTAGTAGAATTAAATCAGTCTTACCTTTTGTTTCATATAGTTTGACAGAATGCTATCTTAATAAAGAAAGTGTGGAAGACAAATCTAAAAACTTTGGAAGAATAGACAGCATAGAGTTTGGGTTTTCTTTGTTGTTATCATTAGAAAAAACATTTAATTATCTAGTTTGTAAAGGAATTGATCAGCTGCAAATTAAGCTAATGTTAGAGGCTGTTTATAGATTTCAGAATACTGTATGAAGAGTCAAAGAGGAATTTATCAAGACATGGTGGATACTAACCAGAAAACTGAGAGTTGAACCTTTCTCTCCCTAAGCTTGATTTCTGGCTGTAAAAGCTTTCCTTTGTGACTAATTAATTTTTTGACTAAATTTTCCTTTTTTGACTAAATTAATTTGTGTAATTAATGCATGTTTTGAAATTTGGCATTTTACCTTTTCCCCACATTAAGGTTAGATATCTACCTAATGCATATCCTGTTTATATTTCCAGGTACAGTTCTGAAAATTTGATACAAGACATGTTAAAAAGCTTACATTATATATAAGATTCTTTAAATGAGTGGTTTTAAATCTTAAATTTGGAACTGGACTTAAGAAAAGTGAGGACAATATTTTTTTCACTCTTAATTGAACATCTCTTCTATTTAGATGACAAAGCTCCCGTGACTGATACCAACATTCCTTCTCACCTGGAACAGATGTTGGATATTCTAGTTCAAGAAGAAAATGAGAGAGAATCAGGTGAAACAGGACCATGTATGGAATATTTGCTACATCACAAGATTTTGGAGACACTCTACACACTAGGAAAAGCTGATGTATGTACTTCTCAGCAGAGCAGATTACCTGTGTGAGCTCTAATTGTTAATAGGGACTGAAGTTCTACAGTAGGTGGTAGTGTGGGACACTGAACTCTAGCAAATAGCTGTTTGCTTGTGTTACCAACATATTACAAATAACAGACAACCAGTGAAATACTGACTAAGGCAGACCCCTAAGATTTGTTACTCACCACTCTAATAATATTGACTGTGAAGCTAGAAGTAGGAGAAACATTTTTGTTCAGTCTAGAATTTTTCTGCATCTGCAAGAGAGTATTACCCCTCTCTGTCCTTTGTTAAGTGTTTGGAGATTATTAGTTGAAAAGTGCTGTCTTAAATGCAAATTTTGTTTAATTTTTCTGAATGTGATGACTTATTGCTCAGAAAGACTTCCATGTCAGAAAGCATTAATTTGAGCTGATCCCCAGACAGCTTTCACATCCAAGTCTTTGGTATGAATGCAGCCCTTGGCAATGTTGTCTGGTTCTTCTCATGTCTACTTTGTGGCACATCTGAAATTAGCTTCATGGTCTTGCTGCGTTCTTGTTATCTTTCTTAGCAGACTTAAGAGCTGAAATTTATGGGGTTGGATGGATCATGGGTGAGTTAACTTGGTAGCCCTTGTGCTAGAACTTTTTGTATCATGATGCAGATGCAGTTAAGAAAGCATGATGTATCCTGATGCAAGGTAAATGGAACTCTCTGTGGTTTCATTCTCAGCCAGTCTTTTACACGTTGTCATGAGTTTATAATCTACTTGATTTTACATATATAGACAATGTAGGGTACTAGCTGTCTGAGCCTGGGATGTTCCTCACTCTGGAAAGACCAGAACTCTACAATTCCTGTTACTATACCAGCTGTCCTACCATCAGGCTAAGATACCCAATGTATTGAAAATACTTGCTCAGAAATACAGCTTGTTCAGTAATCTATAAACTTTGTCAAGAAACCAAAATGAAATGGTGACATATGCGGAGCAGGTAATTAGTAATATGTTTCTAAGAGTTGAGAGAAGTCATTTTGCACTCACGCGAATATGCCTGCACAAGCAATTCTTGTACAGCCTGTCTTTATACTTTGCTACTTGTGAGTTGATACATCTGAAGTAAACACACAGTTCAGTGCTTGCAAGATGTTGCAAAGATTTGCAAAAAGAATAATATCCTTTCACAGCAATCACTTAGACTTACTACATTATTGTAGATGCACCCTGATGGTACACATTTTGCCGTTCTTTTCAAGGAATTGCTTGACAACTCAGTGATAATTAGGGATTAATAATCTAGGGATAATTACCTTGGAAGGAGAACCAGGTTAAGCAGTTGTCATTCTTGGCTGTTGCCACTCATGCTCCATTCACCTGTGCGGTGAACCAGATGAGGGAAATGATGTGGGTTAAAATTAACCTATGGAATAACAGCATTTATTAACATGGTAGAACACATCAGAGTTGGGGGGATTTAGCTAGAAATGAAGGTACATAAGGACCACAAGCCATCAGATCTCACGGAGCTAGGAAAGTGCTTCCATGTGATATGGTGCATGAGGGACAGGAGAACAAGGGTCTGGATGTTCCACAGATATTTGTGATTTATATTCTGCTGAATCTCAGGGAAAACAACAGCTTTCTCTTGTCCTGAAACATCTGTGCATTTATAAATGCTTTATCTGTTCAAGGTTAATTGCTCATTACTTTAAAAAACCTTTTGCAGACATTAAGATGTTTATCATCGTATATTTGTATGTACTGACTCACTGAGTTGCTGGATTTTGGGGCATAGTACCGTAAAAGACATCTGACCTGTAGCCAGTTAATTCAGAGTTAATTTCCCCTTATCACTGTATTGATAGGGAATATTTCCTGGAAAGATTGGTAGAAGTCTGCACTACAGCAATTAATTGAAAGCATGAATAAGTTGAAAAAGAAAACAGTAATGAGATGCAACATTTTTTGTTGATCTCTGTTAATATAGATAAAAGTAAACAGATGATGATTTTTTAAAAACTGCTTTCAGATAAATTATTGCTGTTTAATTAGCCATTTTGAGTGACAAATTTGCATCTGTGTTTCTCTCTACATTTGTTATATTTTTGTTATTTTTCATCTGTTTTTGTTTCAGTGTCCTCCAGGAATGAAACAGCAAGTTTTGGCTTTTTATACAAAACTTCTTGGAAGAATACGGCAACCTCTTCTTCCCCACATAAATGTGCATAGGCCAGTGCAGGTACTGTTCAAATTTTAAGCAAGCTATATTTTTGCATGACAAGTTTCTCTTACTCTGCTGTAGCTAATGATATCTCCAATTCTTCCGTTGTCAAGTGAGTTAAAGAAACTGCTCGAGTGCACTATCAGTTTTAATGTATTGAGGATTAGAGCCTTGAACTGCCACTGCAATGCAAGTCATAAGCAATAAAGAAATCCCAATCATAGCAATCTAAATCTAGAGCAAATGTTCAAGTCAATAATCATGCATCTTTGTAGTATGTATATAGAAAAATAATTCAGTCCATCATTCCTAGAAGAAGTTATAACTTACTCTCTGTCTTAATTGTTCACTTTTCTTTATGTGACAGAAATTAATCAGGCTGTGTGGTGAAGTTCTGGCAACACCAACAGAAAATGAAGAAATTCAATTTCTCTGTATAGTATGTGCAAAGCTGAAACAGGATCCGTACTTGGTCAACTTCTTCCTTGAGGTGAGTAAATCAAATCAAAATTTTCCAGATGTATTTACTGTGTCACAGACAAAATCTAATAGAGAACTGGAGGTATCACTTCGTGCTTCACAGCTTAGTTTTCATTCACTCTGTGGTTTTTTTTCCTGTGATACTAGAAGTTTTTTCGGTTTTTTTTTTGGCTTCCAGGGACTTGATACATCTAATTATTTTTACTAGAATTTCATTCAGGGCCCACAAATATACCTGCCTGAGGTCCTAATCCTTTGTAGTGAAAGTGCCTTTAGAGCAGGGATATGAATTGTAATGTAGAACACTGTGTGATGGAGACCTTGGATTTCTTATGTTGTTTTGTCTTCAGCCCAGTAACGACTAAGGGACAGATTGCATGGGGCATTGAAACCTTGCAAGTTGCTAAGTGTTCTGCAGGATTGGGCCCTTATTTGGTAGTGGCACATACGGTCTAGCTGCAGTGCCAGCTCACAGTCTACAATATGACATTATTTTCTATCTGTAATAAAGCCAAATATCTTTACTCCCTCTTCGAACTTAACATGTGGCATTGATGAAATCAGAGTGGGAGAAGAAAGAATTTCTAGACTAGCTTTCTGTTCCCTTTTAGAAGGAGCATATGAAAGTTTAATTTATAGAAGTCCATTTAGAAATGCCTCCTGCTCCTACTTTGATGTTTCCTATGGTGACAACAGTGTTTATTAAGCATGTGATACATAGGTGAAAAGGTGTAGATACAGTGTCCTCCAGGAATATTTTACAAGCTTTCCGCAGACAGGATCTGTAACAGCAGAGGCTGCTAAAGTGCAAAGATACAGTGTTTTCCATTGAGTACCTGAACATCACTTATAAGTCAGTATTAAAGAACTCATCCTGAGTTTATTTTTACCTTAATTAAATACCACCCTGATTGCCATTGTCTCCACTGTAGATGTATGAGCAGTAGAAATGGTGTAAGGATTGAAAAGTTAGTGTTTAAGTATTAGAAGCTCTCAGAAGCAAACTACTAGATATATTACATGAGGAATATGGTAGAAGTCCAAACCAGGATTACTTTTAATGTCATTTGTGTAAGTTGTATGGTTTGAAAAGAACCCTCTGAATGACTCTTATGCTCAAATAATGCCCTTAAAATCAAATCTGAGAACCCCAATCATAAGAACCACAAGAGTTTTGTCAGACATTAGTGTTCTTCCCCAAAATAGCAAGATTACAATATTAAAAATCAGACACGGAAAGCCAGATGATTCCAAATTTCAAAGAGATCTCTTGTTTCGCAAAACACTGGCCGTAGAGTTCAGGCAAGCTGAAGAACATTTTTTGTAGCTCCTGTTTCCTTCACAACATTATTCTATATGTTATAGCTTAAGGAATACGTCTTCACAACTTCTGATATTTATTTCCAGATAAGGTATTTGGGGTGCAGACTTGTCCTTTATTAGAGTAGAATATTCTGGTTGTTCACATCTATGCCTCTTAGAGGTGCTATTGTTGCGACTTGATAGCTGTTTGTGACCTTCAAAAGCATGAAAGGATAAATTTCTAGAATTCTGTGTGGCATTTATCTCTCAAATCTCCGGCACTTATACACTGAAATGCTGATACATCTCTCCCAAGCAGTCTGTTTGTGTCTGTTAGTTTTACTTCCTTCTTTAAATCAGCTTTTACAGTATTTTATGAACATAAAAAACTGGGCATGTGCAAACCCAGAATTTCCTTTGTATGATTCCATATCAAATAGTTTGTTGATAGAATACTGTTTATATTTTAATAAAATCTTTCACCTATATTGCTTAATCAATAAGGTTATATGGCATAACTGTATCTGTTGGGCAAGTTACTTTTGTTGTGGAAATAAGAACTGGAAGAATGGCATTCTCCTTTTTTAAACCTTTAAAATCCATATACTAATTTTATTTTGGTTTTAATTTATTCTTTTCTTTCTGAGTTTTCCTTGTTCTTGTAACTCTAATAGTTACATATCACGAAAATACGAAAATGTATTTTTGTATTGTCTGCTCTCTGTTGATGCTGAATTCACTTAGAGTACTTTGTCTAGAAAGCATTGAATATGTGTTTTATGTAACCTTTTCTATTAGGTCATTCAGGATCCTGTTTTGCACCTTTACAGGAGGCAGGTGAGCAGCTAAGCTGCAGAATTGCATGATTAGGCAGCAGGAAGCTTAAATAGACACAGAAACTCTGCCTGTGTGTTGTTCAATGTACAGACTGCTTTGTGTCACCTCCCAGTGTAAGAGTAATGAGCTATGGACAAATTTCTAGGGGCATTTATACATTTATGTATGTTAGGTCTTCTCATCAATGTCTTAGCTAAACAATCTATGGCTTTTGGAATGACAGAAGAGTCCAGACATGAGATAATAGGCCACACTAAGATAAAATAAGTATTTTACAAAATACTATCTAATTTTTGAAAAAAGTAGCTTTCCTCTTTGGCAGTCCTGCCTGCTACTTGGTTAGTGGCAGGAACAGTGTATCATATCACATCAAAATGTAGTTCCAGCCTTTAGTTATTCTTTATGTGCAAGGCTCATCGTTGTGATTCAGATATTCTGTGTATTGATGAAATATATGGGAGAATACTGGAGGACTTCAGAAGATTTATGGATAGACAGATATGGTTCATTTTGGTTGCTTTACAGCCTTATGCATTTCATACTGTAAAAAAAATATATGTTGAAGGATTAATTTTTCTACTGTAGTCAAAAATCATACTTATTTTATAGCATGCAGTGTGCTGCTTTTACCACTCGCTTGCCTCTCCAGGGAACTGGTTATATGAGTGTATTGCAACATTCAGTACAAATTCTCCACAATGAATGCACATCAATCAAGCAAGCATTCACAGCAGTTCTCTAGTTTGCTGCCTGAGACTGTCATGTAGTTAGGCCCTGCTGGTTTGTATGTACTAAATGCCACTAACCCCAAATGGTTACTCTTTTAAAAAAATTATTAATGCTTGGGATGCATTTGTAATAATTTTGGTGTTACATAGAGAAGGGGAACCATTTGGATTTATAATCTCACTGCTGTACTCACTTGAAAAAATGCCTTGTGCTGAAGTCTAATTTATGGTTCTAATAAAGTATTATTCACCTGTGCTTATGCCAGAAGAACACTGAATTCTTGCCTTGCTGTGCAGAGCACAAATTTAGATGTCTTTTTATGTGCTGGAGGCAGATTTGTGGGTAGACAGATGAGTTGCTTTCTTTCAGGTTAAGAAGAGATGCTTTGTAGCTTCCCAGAAGGTTCTCTCTGATCTGTTCTGTTATAGTATCCAGTGCTCAATGCTAACTTCTGGTGCCTTCTGCCCGTTCAATCTACTCAACTTTTTCTTCATGAGAAGCACAACTTGAGAGTACTCTGCTGTCATAAACGATGTTTTTTTCCCTTTCCTGCTG